GCCACAGGGGCTTGGAAGAGACAGACGAAAAGGGACAGAAGTGATAGGAGAAGGAAGGCACTGCTGTGGAAAGGCCCAGGGTCCAGCAGGAGCTCTAGGGAGCCCAGACCAGAGCCAACAGGTCAGTAGGACCCACATCTTCTCCATAGCTCAACAGTCCTACAGAGAATCCACAAACTCCTCTGTGGAGTTACCTGGCCTGGTCTCCTCACTGAGTCCTCCTCAGAGAGAAGGAGCAAGAAACCAGCACTTGTCAAATGTGCCTGGATCTCTCTGCATGTGCAGGTAACCCTCAGCCTCTGAGATGTGTCTGTTGCAGCTCCGTGGACAAGGGAACCAAGGACTGGAGACTCCTCACATCACATGACTTGTGAGCAAGGAGTCAGGACTGACCCTACCTCTGGCAACTGTAAAGCCCCCTATCCCCAGCCTTGCTGCCAGGCCAACGTCATTCATTGGGATGAGGGGCTGGTGGCCTCTACAACATTCATGGAGCACTTACTGATGCCAAGCACCGTTCCAAACACTTCACACCTACTAACTGATATTAAGCTCAAAAACGAAAGAACTGAAGAGGTAAATAAATACTACTATTTATTACCTCCTTCGACAGATGTGAAGCCCTGGCCAAGAGCAAGCAAGTGCCTGGCAGAAAGCTTGGCTGGTAAAGAGCAGAGCCCTGTGGGCCAGCTCTTAACTTCCATGCAACAGCTCACCCCGCCCAGCCCGCCCGCCTGCCCACCGCCTGCAGCCCCAGACCCAGACTCCTGTTCCATGCTGAGGCCTTCAAGGCCCTGCTGACTGCAAGGCCACCAGGCTCAATCCACAACACAAGGCCATGAGCCAAGCTCTAGCCCTGGCCCATGGCTTGCAGGTTCCATGCCCCCCAGGCCGTCAGAGATGTACAATGTTCTCTTTGTACTCTGACTTCCTTAGACACTGGAGAGAAGAAAATGCCCCCTGGATTTACCCCCTGGGAAGTGACACCTGGGCTCTCTCTGGTCACCCGTCCTCAGCCTGTGTAGCAGTGCCACCTGACCTGGCTGTGGCAGCCTGGACCTCTCTCCACACCTAACACATGGCACGAAGGTGCAGTGTGACATGTTTCCTGCTGAGCACCAGACATGCGAGTGACTGTAGGTGCCCAGATCCACTTGCTGGCCAGCCTGACACTGCGGGGCTGGCACCTCCCGGGCACCGGATAGAGCCTTAGTGGCTGCAAGGACCCCAACCAGAGGATCAGGAAGGACCAGCAGTGCACTGCTCAGATGGAACCCCAGAGGGCCCCACATAGGCTTTAGAATCTTGTTATGGAGACAAGGGAAAAGGGTGGGGCTTCCTGTGCTCCTGGAGCTCAGAGGCAGGACCCCCACCTCAGGTCCCCCATCTGAGTCGAGGTGCTCCTAGACCTCGCTAGAGATGGCTCAGACTGACAGGGCACACTTTAGCCAACGCAGGACTGAAAGCCACATCCTTGGAGCACTCCCCTACGTGTGCCCCTGGACTGCAGTGGCAAGTCCGAGGGCCACCCTGGCAGTTCTTCCGCCTGTGCGCCTGGAAGGAGATGGCAGGTCCAAGGGCCACACCAAGTGGCCTAGAGCCCAGATCTTGCTGCCAGACTGGGCTCTGACAGGGCTTGATCAGTCTGGGCTGTGTGGCCCCCACTAGCTCGGAGCCGCATTCCTTCATCTGCTCGGCTGCAACTTGTGACACAGCCAGAACCACGTGAGGAGCAAGGGAGGTAAGGGCTCTGCGGGCCCAGAAGCTCCCCCAACCTGGCTGCCGACTCCCCAGGCCGGGACCAGGAAGCCCCGTGTGCGCAGCTGCGTGGGTAGAGACAGGGATGCTGTCCCGGGTGGGCGCGCCCCTGCAGGCAGAGCAGAAGGGAGGGGGACGGCGAATGGACTAACAGTCTTTTCCCTGCCCTCTTAGCACCACAAGCACACAGGAGGCTCTGTGTTCCCCACACACCATGCAGGCACCTTGGCAGCGGACACCAGCGGGGTGTTCCCCAATTCAATTCTGACACTGTCTACCTGGAGAAAGCATCGGATCCCAAGGGGTGAGGGCTCAGTTCTCAACATTGCCCCACTTCAGTCACAAGTCCAAGCTTCCAGAAACTTCTGACTGACCAGCTTCAAGTTGGGGTTCTCATAATCCCCTTTGGATTCCATTAATTCACTAGAGCAGCTCACAGAACTCAGGGAAACAGTTACACTTACCCATTTATTACAAAGGATATTACAAAGATACAGATGAAGAGATGCACAGGGTGAGGTTTTGGGGAGGGGCGTGGAGCTTCCATGCCGTCCAGGGCGGAATGCCTTCCAGGAACCTCCATGTGGTCAGCTAATTGGCAGTTCTCTGAACCCAGTCCTTTTGGGGTTTTATGGAGGCTTCATTACATGGGTATGATTGATTAAATCATTGGCCACTGGTGATGAGCTCAACCTTCAGCCCCTCTCCCCTCCCAGGAGGTTGGGGGGTGGGGCTGAAAGTCCTACCCTTTACTTCTGCCCTGGTCTTTCCCATGACCAGCTCCCATCCTGAAGCTACCTAAGGGCAGCCAGCCATCAGTCAAATAGTTAGCATACAACAAAACTCTTAAGGATTTTATGAGCTATATGCCAGAAAAGGGACAGGGGAGAAAACCAAACACATATTTCAAAATATCACAGGCAGGAATTGCCAGAGCCCTGTGGGATTTCAGAGTACATCTTAAAGAAAGCAAGGACTGCCCGTCAACAAAAGCGAACAGAAAGCTGGCCATGTGGAGAGGCCCTGAATGAAAGCCAACTTTGTGTTAGTTTGACATACAGTAAAGCATGTTTCAAAATGAGGGGAAAGGAGGGTTTACCTTAAAAATACTGTTCTGCTCCCGCCGAGGGTTCGGATCCCACATACAGACCAGTTCCCGCTCACTGGCTGAGCGAGGTGCGGGGGCAACACCGAGGGTTGCGATCCCGTTGCCGGTCCCGGTCCGGTACGGGCGCGACACTGAGGGTTGCGATCCGTTGCCGGTCACGAAAAAAGACAAAAAAAGGAAAAAAAAAAAAAAAATACTGTTCTGAGTGCCACTGGGAGAGAAGAGACTTGACTCGAATGACCACTAGCAGAGAAAATTTAAACAACACAGACATGTGCGGTGCTGTTGGCTCTCCACAGGACTAACTTACTTGGCTTTACAGAATTTTAAAAACCTTAAAAGAGTTATTTGTATAAAACAGTAAAGAGCTAACCTCTATGATACATGAAGCACTCATTCAAGTTTAAAAGTGACCAAAACTACCCCCAAATACCCAGACAAACCATGAGAGAATCAGTGAACATGCAGGAAACTGAACCTGTTAGCCACCAAAGAAACCCAAGTTCCTGTAGCTCTAGTCTCAAGGCACAAGCTCGCCCAGCCAGGGTACAGAGCAGCCCCCACTCCAGAATCCTTGACAGCAGCAAGTCCCTGCAAAGTAGTCATGAAAGCAAAGCACTGGGGCAAGACACAGCCCAGCAGCAAACCAAATGCTGCGCTCTCCTCTGGAAATGCATCCTGAGACAGTCAGCAGGATGGACCCAGTGCTAAAAGGACGGCATGGAGATCTGGACACTTCTCCCCAGTGAAATCATAAAAATCCAAAGCAATTACGGAGATGACATAACTCCACAGACATAAACTATGCCTCTGAAATCGTGACAACTTAAAACTGAGAGTTGTTTATAAACTGCAGATGGAAATCTGGAAAATGCTTAATTATCCCCTAAGAAAATAGTTAAGAAAATTGTGTACAAAAACAAAACAAAAAAAAACACACCAAAAAGTTTTTTAGAAAATTATGTGCATTAGGGCCGGCCCGTGGTTCACTCGGGAGAGTGCGGTGCTGATAACACCAAGGCCATGGGTTCGGATCCTATATAGGAATGGCCGGTTAGCTCACTGGGTGAGTGTGGTGCTGACAACACCCAGCCAAGGGTTGAGATCCCCTTACCGGTCATCTTTAAAAAAAAAAAAGAAAAGAAAATTATGTGCGTAGATTTAATGGAGTCTTATGAAACTAAAAAGAATGACTGTCAAAGCAATATGACAAAAAGGACAGCTACCTACAATTTAGGGATTAAAATATACAGTAGGATTAAAACCATGTAAGAAGGTGTGCGCGTGACCCTACAGCAGGGTTACAAAAGGAAGGGGGCAAATGGCCCTTCCCTGGAGGGCTTGAGCTGGGAGTGAAGTGCTTAGTCACATCCTACAATGACTGTAAGAGGTCAGCTGCAAACGCAGCTGAAAACGCCATGAGATGTAGCTACGACTGACTTCTCTCTAGAAAGTGGCAGGTGGGTGAGCCCTGCCAAGCCTTCAAGGCATGGTCCCCTTCCCAGACGTGCACCCTGTGGAGCAGGGCCACTCTCCACCCCAAGGCCTCAGCTCAAAGACAGAAGCAGCTCTGGTTGAGAATGTCAGCAGGTCATAGACATGTATTAAAGGGAGCAAGAGAACACAGCCAGTGCAATCCAGAGAGCTGGACACGCAACAGAAGAATGACCTGCTTCCATGTCGTGGAAGCATCGAGGGGAAAGGTGGGGAGGGCTGTGAGGCAAAGGCGGCCTTGTCTACTCCTGAGTTTTCAGAAAATATAGGCGAGGATCATGAAAACTGGAGCGTTGTGGGCTGACTTGACATTGAGGAGTTATGCTCATTTATCCAGGTGAGATCATGGTGGTGCAGGTACGTTTATGTTTATTTCTTCAAGAGCCCTTAGAAATATATACCAGAGAATTCATGAATGAAATTCCATAAAGTCCTAAAGAATGCATTTGCTTCAAAATGATCCAGCATGGGTGTGCTGAAGGCAGGTGTCAGGCACACGGGGTTTCTTTACACCGTTCTCTCTACACTAAAACATCCTTAAGTTTTTCCATAGAGATGAAGCCCTGAGGAAACGCACAGGTAGCCTGCACTCTGCTCAGAGCTCAGCAAGGGAGCACCCCCATGTCGGCGTAGCCCTCACCTTTCCTGACGGCAGCAGCAGTGACACTCCTCACGTCCAGCTCCAGCCTCTGCACCAAGGCGCTGGGATCTATCTTCGTCCTGGCAAAGATGTCGGTGTTGATAGCAGCCCAGTCCTAATGCCCCCAACAGAAAGGAAAGAAAGACAATGCATGAGACTTGTTTCAGAGGGAAATGCAAAAGGCCAGTCACGCACCAGGGAGAGGACGTGCAAGGATGTGGATGCACGACTTCCCCGCCAGTGAGGCTGAAGGGACACGACCCTCCCCTCCCAGGGCAGAGCCTGGGTCCCAGAGCACCAAGGCAGGCCCGCTGCACCCCAGGCCAATCTCCTTCCTGACTCAAATCACCAGGAGGGCTCTGCTCCTGGCTCTCAAGAATGGGGATCAGTAACTATTACGAATGAGTCTCAACACCCAGAAGCACATAGGATGGGAACCCAACTTCCTTCTTTCTACAACACGCTCCTTTTTCATAACTGTAGCTTCATCTCAGCAGCCTCCTTCCCAGCTCCCAACCCACATTTGTCCCTCCAAGACACTGTGGCCACACTGTGACAAGACGGGTGCCCCCACCCCACCTCTCACGCCCCTCCCACTCACCCCAGGTCCAAGTTCCACAGCCTCTGCAGGGACCACAACATCAACACTCAGAGGTTTCTGAAGGGTGGCATGACACACCCCCCAAAACACGTCAAAGGCACTTTAAAAAAAAACAGCAGGTGCAAGAAGGGCACTCTGACACCTCCCCTTTTCTTCCTAAAAGCAGGAGGTCAAATCCCCATATGGAAGATGCCCTCCCTACACTGAAAGGAAAGCAACATTCTTATTACCAAGCAAAGGCTGAGAGAATTCTGCACAGACAGACTTTGTTAAAATGGCTCTCATCTTCCTGCAGTCTCCCAGGCAGTTTGGTTTTCTACAACTGCCTCTCTCTGTCCCACCTTGTATTAGGTTGCATTAGGTTCTGCCACTTCTGTGGGTCTTCATCTCCTTATAAGGGCTCCCGTTTTGTGTAGAACTTAACATTATATAAGCGGGTCTGCTTGTCTCCTGATAACACTTTTGTCAGTTTAAATCTCAGGCCCAGCCAGAAAAATGCTAAGACAGGAGAGGTAAAACTTTGCCTCCAGTATACCAGAAGAGATGGGACAGAGGTCAGGCAGAATAGGCTGGAGCCCCAGGAAGGCACTGGGCTAGGCTGTGTCTCCCTGAGGCCCCTCAGAGCAGCTGGGGTAGCAGCTCCTGCTCATGGGAGTTTACATGAGGGACAAGACTCAGTAAACAATATCAGAGCACTCACAGGGGAGCGGTGCTGGGCCTAGGCAGCTGAGGGACACAGTGAAGCTGGGTGCTCACAGGCCAGGAGGAGCCCTGGGGAAACAAGGGTGGGGCATACATCCTTCTAGATCACGTGTGGAAGTCTGCATGTAAATATGGCACCTTTTCACACTGTAGCTGGGACATTTTCCTACAATGGCGCTTTCTACCTTACTACTCCATATTTTTGGATCTTAACATAAAAAGTGCTGATATTTACCGTTTGCATGTCTTTCAAGGTCTAAAATGTCATTATCTGATTAGAGATTAGAAATCCTGGGTCTACTCCATGTTAAAGGTCAATGACTCTATCATATATACAAGTTCTACTTGTTGCTTTTTTCTCCAAATCCACCTAGTCTTTTTCAGGGATACACAAGGGAACACCAATAAAACTAACAGCTGACTTCTCATCAGAAACAACAGAGGCCTGAAGGCAGTGGCACAGAATACTCGAAGTGCTGAAAGAGTAAAAGCAGTCAACAAAGAACCTTGGGGAGGGGGGCGCTAGCCAGTACAGGGATCAAACCCTGGACCTCGGTGTTATCAGCACAACACAACCAAAAATCTTATAACCAGCAAAGCTATTTTTGAAAAATGAAGACATTCCCAGATAAAGCAAAGCTGAGAGAATCTTTTCCTTATAGACTTGCCTTATAAAAAATGATGAGGGGCCGAGCCCGTGGCGCACTCGGGAGAGTGCGGCGCTGGGAGTGCAGCGACGCTCTCGCTGCGGGTTCGGATCCTATATAGGAATGGCCGGTGTGCTCACTGGCTGAGTGCGTTTACCGGTCACGAAAAAGACAAAAAAAAAAAAAAAAATGCTGAGGAAGTTTTTAGGCTGAAAGCAAATGATACCAGACAGTAATTCAAAACCACAAAAACAAAACAAAGAACACTGGAAATGGTAAATATGTAGGTAATTATAAAGAATAATTATAACAACTTATGGCTGGGTTTGCATCATATATAGACACATCTTATATAACAAAAATAGCACAACAGAGGAGTGTAAAAGAACAGAGCTATACACAACTCTATATTTCACTGGAATTAAGTCAGTATAAATTGGAAGTAAGTTTTGATATATACTGCAAGTCCAAGATCAACTGCTAAAGGACACACATGAAAAACCCACAGAAAACATCATACTTAATGGTGAAAGACTGGATGCTTGTCTCTAAGATCAGGAACAAGATAAGGATGTCTACTCTGGCAATTTCTATTTAACATTGCTGTGAGGGTTCTAGCCAGAGCAATTAGGCAAGTAAAAGAAATAAAAGGTGTCCGTCCATATTGGAAAGGAAAAAGTAAAACTATCACTTTGCAGGTGATATCATCCCATACACAGAAAACCCTAAGGAATCCACAAAAACTAATAAGTTCAGCAAGGTTTCAGGATACAGGATCAATATACAAACATCAATCATACTTCTGTACAAGTGATAAATAATCCAAAAATAAAATTAAGGAAACAATTCCATTTACAATAGCACCAAAAGTAATAAAATAAGATCCAGGGTTCAATCCCTGTACTGGCCAGCTGTCCCCTCCCCCAAAAAGGTAATAAAATAGGAAAATAAGTAATATTAAAAAGTGCAAGAATTGTACACTAAAAACTACAAAACACTGTTTAAAGAAATTAAAGACACAAATTAATGGTAAGACACCTTGTGTTCATGGACTGAAAGGCTTAATATTGTTAAGATGGCAGTAATTCCCAAGTTGATATGAGTATTAGATACAATCTCTATCCCAGCTGCCTTTTTCACAGAAATTGAAAAGTTCATCCTAAAATTCATATGGAAATGGAAGAGACCCAGAATTGCCAAAATAATCTTGAAAAAGAAAAACAATGTTTGAAGATCTACATTTCTGGATTTTAAAACTTACTGCAAAGCTACAGTAACCAAGACTATGTGGTATTGGCATAATGACAGCATTAAAGAACATGGAACAGAATTGAGAGTCCAGAAATAAACCCATATGTTTATGGTGAACTGATTTTTGACAAGGTGCCAAGATTGTTCAATGGGGTCTTTGCAACAAATGGTGCTGGAACAACTGGATATCCACACTCAAAAGAATGAAGACAGACCCCTACCTCACACAATGCATAAAAATCAACTCAGAATGCATCAAAGATGTAAAAATATAACAGGAGAACTATAAAACTATCAGAACACAGATGTAAATCTTCGTGACTTTGGATTAAGCAACAGTTTCTTAGATGTGACAACAAAAGCACAAGCAAGAGAAGAAAAAAGATAAATTGGACTTCATCAAAATTAGACACTTCTGTGCTTCCAAGAACAGTATCAACAGAGTGAAAAGACAACCCACAAGATCGGAAAAAAACCCTGCAAACCATACATGCCTGATAAGAGTTTAGTACCCTGAGTATATAAAGAACTCTTATAATTCAAAAGAAAAAGACAACACAATTTAAAGATGGGGAAAGGACTTGAATAGACATTCAAAGACACACAAATACCCAACAAGCTCACGAAAAGATGTTCAACATCATTAGCCCTTAGAGAAACGCAAATCAAAATGACAAGATAGTGCCTTACATCCACTAAGATAGCCAGAATCAAAAAAGACAGATAATAAGTGTTGGTGAGGATGTGGAGAAATTGAAATCCTCATACATTGCTGGTGGGGATGTAAAAAGCAGCAACCACTGTGGAAAACAGTCTGGCAGTTCCTCAGAAAAGCTAAACAGTTACCATATGACCCAGCAATTCCACTCCATAGTTCCACAGAAAAATCTATACACAAATGTTCACAGCAGTATTATTCCTGACAGCCAAAAAGTAGAAACCACCAAAATATCCATCAATTTACGAATGGATAAACAAAGTGTGGTGTGGTACAGTACAGCCATACAAAGAAACATTATTCAGCCATAAAAAGGATGAAGAAATCACTGCTACCAAAAAAAAAAAAAAAGCTACTACGATGAACCTTGAAAACATGCAAAGTGATAGAAGCCAGACACAGAAGGCCACATATTGTATTACTCCATTTATATGAAATGTGCAGAACAGGCAAATCCATAGAGACAGAAAGTACATTAGTGGTTGTTAGAATGACTGATGGGGACTTATTCTTGGAGTGATGAAAACATTCTGAAGTTTGTAGTGATGAATGCACAACTCTGGTAATATACTAAAAACTTTTGAATTGTACACTATAAATGGGTGAATTTTATGACGTGTGAACTACACTTTAATAAAGACAGAGTTTCCTGGGTTGTTGTTGTTTAAAGCCAAGACTCTGGAGTCAGGTTCTGGATTCAAATATCAACTCCTCCACTCAGTAGCTGAGTGTCCTTGGTAACGTACTGAACTCTCAGATTCGTCGCCTACAAAACGAGGGTTAGGGCTGTTGTGAAGATGTAAAGTGCCTGGCACACAGTAAATGCTTAACAAACACAGCTGTTTTTACTAGCATTACTGATCCAAAGCCATGGACACCAAGGACCAACGTCTTCTCTGCTGTTCCCAGCAAGCCCCTTGGTCACAGACACCAGTAAAAGCTTCCAGGGCAGCTCAAGGATCAGCACCTGTTTAAATAAAACGTGGCCTATTCATACAATGGAATATTATTCAGCCACAGAAAGTACTGATACTATGCCACAACCTGGATGGACCTTGAAAATATCATCTCAAGTACAAGAAGCCAAACACGAAAGGCCACAATCTACAGGACTCCATTCACGAAATGTCTAGAATAAAGACAGAAAGTAGATTAGTGGTTGCTGAGGGTTGGGTGGGATCAGGGGACAGGGACATGACTGTTAATGGGTACAGGGTTTCTTTTCAGCTTGCTCTTTTTCTTTAGCCCTGAGAACTTGTTTTCCATCCCCGAGCTCAAAACGATTTTAAGGAAACTTTGCCACACCCCCGCGGCACTTCCAGACTGTGGTGGGAGGTTCCCGGTCTCTCTCTCCCACGGCACGGGGGGTGGTGTTATCAGCCCCCCAGGGCCGTCGCGCCCGGGAGCGAAGCCTCAGGATCCGCGACACTTCGGGAACCCAGAAGGAGCGTCGGTCGCACAGCAAACACCGGCAAAGGCCGAGGCGGGCCGGAGTCGCGGAGCCCTCCCCGGGCGGCGCCCCG